GGGGAAAGTCAGAAGTCAGCCTCCTAGCCCAGCCCCGTCCCCCAGCCCACAATCCAAGGGGGAAAGTCAGAAGTCAGCCTCCTAGCCCAGCCCCGTCCCCCAGCCCACAATCCAAGGGGGAAAGTCAGAAGTCAGCCTCCTAGCCCAGTCATCTGCCCCAGCCCCCCACTGGACTCTCTCTCTATGTAGTGGAAAATCTGTCTACAGGCTCCCAGGAAACCCATTCACGCATTACAGATAAGACCCATTCTACCCCAAAATAACACCAAGTGTTTTGTGCTTCTGAAATGCTGAGAAAAGTCTGGCAAGAAAATCAGGTGGGAAGAGGCAGAGACACAACCAGAGACACAGCCATGACCTGACCTGACGGACACCCTGGATCCCTCCAGTGTGCGTGTGCTCTGGGTGAGAGCGTGCACAGCCAGGGTGACCACCAGATCTCCCAGAGAGCTGCTTCCTGGCGGCGTGTCTCTGTACTGGGGCAGCTTCAGACCCACGAAAGCCAGAGGTGTGTGGTGCAGTCTTCAACAGACATTTGAAAGCACCTTTTCCTATCAGTTGTCACACACATGCCAATCTCATGTGTATGACATGCTAGAAGAAAGCAAAAACAGAAACGCACAGTGTGTCAGCACATGGCAGTCTGCTTACCTTGGGTCCGTGTCTGACCTGTGCTTCACCCTCAGGAATGTGCTGCCCCGTCTCATCTCTGCCACGGGAGGTAAAATGACCGGCATCACGGTGCAGAAGAGTGACAGCCGAGCGGGCAGCGCCGCACCTGACGGTGCCTTCTTCTTCTGTCCAAACAGGAACTTCAGCTTCCCTTGGAACTGCATTGTCTGGCGTTTTGGAGACAGAAAGGCAGACTGCTCTGGACATGTGTGCAGGTGCACACCTATGGGTCAGCACACCCCAGGCCTGTGCCCACACCTGACACCTGCCCAGGTCCCTTTGCAGTCTGTGCTACCTTTTGTGGGCAATGTATTTGCATGTGTGTACACTTGGGCCTCTTGTGTGTGTGTGTTTGTGTGTGTGTGTACGCCAACACAGGTGCACATGAACATATGGTGGAGATGATCTCTCAGGAAAGATTTCTTTTAAATGCTTGATTCCCAACTTGTCACTTTCATAATGATAAGACTTAGAGACAACTTAATTTTATTCAACTAGCATCTATACTGGGAGTAAAAAAAAAAAAAAAAAAAACAGCAAATGCTGGGCACCAGTGGCTCACACCTGTAATCCCAGCTAGTCAGGAGTCTGAGATTGGAGAAGAGTGGTTCAAAGCCAGCCTGAGCAGGAAAGTCCGTGAGATTCTGATCTCCAATAGAAACCACCAGAAAACTGGAAGTGGTGCTGTGGCTCAAGTGGTAGAGTGCTCACCTTGAGGCCCAGAGTTCAAGCCCCACGACCAATAACAACAACAAAATCCGAACCAGCAACCATCTTATGAATTTGTAATAAAAGATGTCATTCTAAAGGGAATGCTGATGAGCTCCTGAGTCAGCTCCAAGCACCAGAGCCGCGGGATGAGCTCACCACGTGACCCCAGAGCCTTTCCCGGCCCCTTCCCCTCCCTCCACCCAGAGTTTACTAAACAAACAAACGTTTGTGCCAGGCACACGCTTGGCGTGCGCCTTGGAGCAATGGTGCACCAGGAAATACCTGACGTCCTTCCCCCTGGAGGAAGCAACTCCAGGTCTGTGGTGTTTGCCAATCTCTTTGATGTGACTGTTTCTGCCATGGCTGATCTCACCTTACAGACCTAACTTCAACCAGATACAAAATTGCTACAATGTTAATGCCTGGCCTCAGGCAGCATGTGTCCAGACTGAGGTGGGTCGTGGTAGAAGGACCCAGAGAAGTCTCAGAGCTCTGTGACTCCTGCCAGTCCTGATCACTTGGTATGGAGTAACACCGGCCCGACGCTTGCTCTTTCCTAACAGGAAATCTTAGCTTCAATCTTAGCTTCAATCTTAGCTTCAAACTACGCCCTCTCCTGAGCATTTGTTTCAGTTTCATTCTAAGCTATATTCCAATCTCTTCTCAATCGCACAGTGAGATCCCTCCAATTATTCCAATGTCCATAGAATGTCGAATAAGATGTTACACACATAAGAGCCTAGGCCCTAAATAAAACATGGCCAACACTGTCCACAGAGACAGTAGGTTGGGTGGGGCAGAGCAAAAATCGGCCTCTTGCTGTGAGCTGCAGGACGGACCCTCCAACAAACAGGGAGGCTGGACTCCTTGTCTCCCGGGGACCTGGGGGTCCAATAACTATTGCAGCTAAACTACACTTGTTAGACCTTGATGGCCCTGAAAGATAGAGATGTGGATTCCCTTTAATATGGGTCTAGATCCTTCTTTGTGCTTGAACTCAGGGCTCACAGCTGGCACTGTGTCATTCGAATCACATATCCAGTCCAGACGTGGATTTAATGGGAGCGATTAGCAGAATGAACTGCAGGGAGGAGTCAGCTCCCACTTCTGCTAGATGCCCACGGCACCATACCATGTGCTGTCCAGCTCAGTGGTTGTCGCGTGAGGGGGTGCCGGGGGGACCCGTGTGGAGGGCAGGGCAGGGGCCGGCAGGGTGGGCTTCTGTGTGATGCAGAGCCACAGCAAAGATGCCCAGAGCAGACCTGGCAGTGAGGGGAGGATCGGCTCGTTATCACGCCTGCTTTTCTGAAGACCTGACTTGTATGATATACATTTCATGTTTTTACGTCTCTTAACACAAAAACAAAGCCGGTGAGGAAGCTGAGGAGCATATGATCTCATGGCCACGCCTGGCGAGGGCACCTCTCTCTGAGTTAGCTAACCGGAGGTTCGAGAGGAGGGGCCTGAGTCAGGATTGGGAGGTAAGACCTGGGGAGCGCAGGGTGAAGCAGGGAGTCAGACTTCCCACCCCACCAGTCCCAGACCAGCATAGGAAGCAGCTCACAGAGGCTGCCATCGAGCTGGGTGAGGCCAGGGGGGTGGGGAGACTCCTGAGCTGTGCACAGACAAAGGGGCATGGCTGGCCCTCTGCAGGCATCAGCCCAGTGTTTCCAGGACTCATCCACCGGGGTTTGAGGCTCCTCGCTTTAGAAATGCTCCCGGGGGCTGTGCAGACACCAGGGCTTGACCTCTAGACCCATGGTCCAGATGTGGGAGACAGAGCCTTTAGGATCCACGGGTCACAGGAGGGGCAGGCAATCCACAGGACCGCTGTCCCAGTGAGAGAGGGGATTTCCAGGGCTCCCGGTACAGTGGAGGAGACGAAGCCCCAGGACAGAAGGTCCAGGAGGATAGGAACAGGATCTCAGATCAGGTAGAGGGTGGCAGGGACAACACAGAGTGGTCACTGAAGCTCACGGTCAAAGGTTCGCATCAAGCTGGTAAGGTTGCCTGAGAGCCTGGGCCTCGAGGGGACCAGGGCCAGGCCTCGGGAGCAGCCGGGGCCCCGGGCCTGCAGGCTGAGGCTCTGCTATGTTCCTCCCCTTTCCATGCAGAACTGGGGAGGGAAATGTCCAACAGGAAAAGTGGAAGGCCAGGTGCTGTGTGTGAGCAAGGAGCCCAGGCAGGAGCCCAGGCTGCAGCCACGGTCAGCCCTGGTGGGGGCCTGTGCCCCTCCGGCCTGTCCGCTGTGGACGCTGCGGGACGCGGATAGAAGAGGGCTGTCACGGAAAGCTACCGTTAACCCCAATGAAACACTCGCTGAGTTCTCAAATACTTTTTTTTTTTTTCATTTCTCTGATCTGTGACAGGTTTCCCAAGTTTTCAAGTCCCAGTGTTGCTAGCGTGTGTGCTGGAGCTGTGACCAGAACTCAGCCTTCGCCAGCCTGGGCGTGACAGCCTCCCTGTCACTGGGGCTCAGCCTCTGCCAGCCCCTCTCATGGGGGCTCAGCCTCCGCCAGCCTCTCTCATGGGGGCTCAGCCTCCGCCAGCCTCTCATGGGGGCTCAGCCTCCGCCAGCCTCTCATGGGGGCTCAGCCTCCGCCAGCCCCTCTCATGGGGGCTCAGCCTCCGCCAGCCCCTCTCATGGGGGCTCAGCCTCCGCCAGCCTCTCATGGGGGCTCAGCCTCCGCCAGCCTCTCATGGGGGCTCAGCCTCCG